AAGGCCCGACAGCTGACCGAATGACAGAAGCTTTGAGTTTACATTTTATCAAACTGTGATAATCAATTAAGTTCATCCATCGTCAATCGCTTATCCTGCGTACAGGGTCGTGGGGGGCTGCAGCCAATCCCAGCTGACATCGGGCGAAAGGCAGGGTACACCCTGGACAGGTCGCTAATCCATCGCAGGGCCTGTGATAATCAATCTTAAAATAATATTCTGTCTGCTTTTGAACATTTAACTACTTATATAACCTGAATAATCATAACATGACAATGACAGAAGAACTGGGTGTTAAGTGTTTTAGAAGTGTTTCTTTCTGACAAGCAACAAAGAAATCATGAAGTGGTAAAACCTCACCTGAAATCGCTCCCAGGATCACAAATGTTTCCATATCTGCTGCAGCCTCCATGCATGTAGAATGTGTTTTCAGAGAGGAGATGCTAATGTATGTGTTTGAGAAGTGGTTGGTCTGTTTTACAGCAAATTGTACTGTTATTGTCATTTTCCAGTTCTAATAAAACTTTATAATAATAATTATAAATATCATGTACAAACAATAATATAGTTGATGTCATGTATTGCCAGGCATCAATCAGTATTTAGCAACATTTGAATCAATTTGTGCATCATAAATTTATCATAAGAAGTGGATACAAGGTCCCAAGATGGCAGCCATATACTTGGCTTAACCAAGTTCAACAGATAAAAATATAAACCATGGAATAAAAATGTTTAACACAAAGAGTAATAATTTACCATATTGCTGTTAAAGTTGTCCTTTTTTAGTTTTACAGGTGACTCTTTTACAAAGTGGTCAATGGGAAGAGGAGATGGGACATGTGTGTTTTTATGGAACTGCTGGCAATGATGGGACTGATGTGTGGTCCTGCTCCTGAAACTCTGCTAATTAGTGGAGGGCCGAAAGTGAAAAACTGATCTGAAACTGAAAAGATTTGAATGTTTAAAAAAACAAACAAAAAACAAACAATAAAACTGCTTTGATTCTGAAAACAAAAAATGTGGAACTGAAAAATAATATCAAATATCAAAATAGTGGCGTGGTGGATTAGTGGAGAATGAAAGTGAAAAATTAAAATTAATCATTTATTCAAAATAATTCCAGAATTAAATCAACATTTCATTCAAACTGAAAAAAAATCATACACTTATTTTTATTTTGAATACATGGTTGTATATTTCAAGTTTAAGACCAAAACTTAAATGTTCAATTTCAAGTTTTAGTTTTTCTATTAGTTTTTTTTTAAATTAACAAAACATTCGGCCCTGATTTAGCTCCATAGTAAAGCAGGTTGCTCTTGGGTTAACTTATGTTCTGCATAAGGTTAAGTCAACCATCAAGACTAACTTTTCTTTATTGTTTGTATGTATTGTGAGTAAGTCAAATGTATCAACTCAAGTAAACAATAAGAGGATATATATAGATTTATTAAAATACTATGCTTACCAGTTTTTGACCATTATATTTATAAGACTGTTACATATTCAGTTGCTGTCAAAACAAATGACAGAGAAAGCATTAACATTTTATGTTGCAGTTTTCAAAATATATTGATGTATCTTGTTAATTAGAATAATTTCTCATCCTAACCCAATATTAATCCATTGATTTACAAAGCTGAGATTGGACAAAATAAAGAACAGGAAAATAAAAGCAAACATTATATATACACAGAGCAAACACACCAGAAAAGGTGTAATAAAAGCTATTTTCAACTCATTATATATTGAATCATTACCCAGTACTACAGTTTACTGGAATATTTTACTGTATTTACACTTTGTTTTGGGTTTGAAGACATTTCACTCTCATGAACACTGGCAGACATTTTTAGCAAAAAAGCTCTGATTTGAAATCTAATGCATATGCTACCTTCTAAAATGGGAGTGAATATTTTATCCAACAAGTGGCCAGAAATGCTGCAGAAATGCTGCTGTTGATATGTACTGGATGTATAAATGGCAACACATTAGCTATAAAAAAAACAAAAAACAATTAGGTGATAATATATCAGGGCTGCTATGTCTCATTATGTTATGGTGCTCTTCTGCCTACAAGTGTCCAAAAAGTTACTTAATGCAGCTTTAAGCACATTTATATTGCTTTCAGATCCACTGGTAATTCTGTTAATGATATGACTTACTGCATTGTAAATTACTTATCTAAAAGAAAATTTAATCCAAACATAGAAGAAAAATAGTCAGAATAGTATAATTTCTAAACAACCCCCCGACAACATTGGTGTGTCGTCTCTTCTTGGCGCAGGTGAAAACTTTGCACATTTTTATTTTCATCATCTGCAGAAAAATATAAACAACTGATTAAATTAGAGAGTTGCTGTTTTGATCCAAACAGAGTTAAAATGATTTCCACAGAAACAAAACCTCTGGTGCTTCTCCCTTCAAATTACATTTAGGCCTTTTCACTAAATCAGACAAATGAGTTGAAAACTTACTTTAAAAGACAGTTGAGTTTATATGTTCTCATATACCTCTGAAGTGTTCTCATACATATGTTCTTCTCGTTCTAGGCAAAAAAGTAGCTTTGTTACAGTACATTTCATAACTCAATACATGTGATTGTGATTCTTTATGTTTATTAAGTATTTATTTGTGATTGATGATTGATCCAGTGATTTTTAGATCCAGTCGTCCTCATCCAAAAACAGCTGTATAAGTATAGCTCACTACGACCCAAATTTATGATTTTTGTAAGGCCACAACCCATGGTGGCAGAAGAAGTCAGGTGACATAGTATAAGGAACGACAAAGTCTGACTAAGGAGGGTGGTGGTGAATGGATGATGGATGTAAACTCAGGACTTTCCCCTCAAGAGACCGAGACTCAAGTTCCGTGTAAAAGAAAGTCAAAGAAGACAAGTTTTAAGTTAAATAACTTACTGACTTACGTAATGTACTTGTTTTAACCCAAGCCACAATATTTTCCTAAAACTAACCATAAAGTTCTGTTGCCTAAAACTAACTACTACCTTTTTTTTAACGTTACGCAACATAGGCCTATACTGAAGGTCCGGTAAGCCTGACTCTGGACCAGTATTTGCCAATGCTCGTTGTTTTGGAAAATGGTCAAAATGTCATTGCATTTTCCAATGGACATATGGCCGATGTCGTTTTGGAAGCAGTCTTATACTGTATGTCGTTTGGGGAGACTTGATAATTGCCCTATTTTGTCGTTTTGGTATGACGACGTGTTGCATGTGTAAGTCAGATGAATAGCCTACTTACCTGTATCATGTGCCTGAGGTTTGTTGTTTATTCTGAATTTAAAATAAAAGATTGTTAAAAGGTAGCCTGCTTGATGCTGTTAATGTACCTATTAATGATAATAAAAAAACAAATACAACGAACAGGTATTTAAATTCTTGCACCTGTAAGTAAAACACCAAATCCAGAAATGAATTATTGTTGATGAATTATGTTAATCTGATCAACAGAATCATTCACATTAATAGAATATAATTTATGTAATCTTAAAGTCAATTGAGTTTAATGGAGCTGTAAAAGTACTGTATGAAACTGATCAATATTGAAAATACAATAATTCCTGACCAAATCTAAGAGAAATGAGTGACCAGTTACAGATATTATGAAGGCTATTTTTCACACAAATACCTCCAGGTGATTTCCCTGATTTTTAAACAGGGTAATGTACAGTAGGATACTGTAAGGGTGAATGAACACTGATGAAAATGAGAGTCAGAGTGAAAGCTAAAGTCAGGCTCGGGGCTAAATAGACAATATACATATTGTGAGACTGGCAAAAGCAGTACATAAGCAGGTGACCCTTTTTTGAACATTGACCTGTTGTAGATAAATTAAACAGAGTTTTACCGTCACAACCTGATTCTAGTTCCCTATTTTCTATCTGTTCTCTTCATATCCTAACACTCCCTCTCGCCCTGTAGTAATCCATGGTTTATGACTAAAACTGATTTGACCTGCAAATCCAAACTCAACAATACTGAGCCAATACACTTGCCATAATTGGTATTGATCCGAAATAATAAAAAAAATGGCTCATATATACCTTTTTTATATATGTAGTATCCTCCACCAAAACCTGCTCCACAGATGACCAAACATGCAATTACTATTCCAGCGATGCAACCAGCTGAACAGGGTGAAGTTTTGACAGCTAAAATAAAAAAAAGATACAAGAAGATGATTTAACACCATTCTGTAAACAGGAATAATCTTTTATGCCTATGGATATAAAGCATACAACCATTTCAACTTTCCTGTGACTTCACAGCCCACTAGGTGCGAATATTTGTTTAATATTAAGAGTAAGGCCTTGAACATAACATAACAATTTGACATTGTGGGTTAATGTGGGCAACATCAACAACAAGAAACTGCAATCAACTCCATCTTGTTACCTGTTACAGACAACTGGTGGACCGCTGATGATGATGTTTTTCCAGTTACATTATTCATTGCTTCACAGATGTAGTTGCCACTGTCAGAAAGTTCAGTGATGTTTTTTGTAAATATAGCAGAATTCTGTAACTCAGCCCCATTCAGTGTCCAGGTGTAACTAGCAGATGGTGTGGACTCAGCAGAGCAGGTTAATGTTAAGTTCTGTTCAATATAGATCTCATTTGGACCTGTGATTTGAACATTTTCTGGTCCATCTGAAAAAAACATAGTTGTAAAGTTCTTACAGCAGCACAAATAATAAAGACTATAAAACTTAAACTTGTTTTACATACTGACAAACCAAAACCAGTCGCACACAGTTATTTATGGCAGTCATCATTTTGAACAGTAAATGTACATTGTACAGTGTGTTACCTACAGTTAACAACCACGGTGTATGTAGCTTCCTCAGTGTTGATTGGGTTGCTGATTTTACAGGAATATTCTCCACTGTCTTTTTTATTCAGACTGATAAAAGACAGCACTCTGTTCTTGTCGTAAGTACCATGTTGTCAGTCAGAGTCAGATCTGAGCCGTCCTTCACCCATTTCTGGTAAAGACAGTGCCAGCTGCGTCACAGGTTAGGTTGACAGAGCTCCCCTCAATCGGCATGTTTGTTGATGATTTGACAGAAGCACCTGATATTCTCTCTGTTGAGCAAAACATCACGGAATTTGTGTGAAAACAGGAACAACTGACTGTGTTACTATGGGGTTGATTGGGTGAGTAAATAAATATAATTAATATCATTGTGAAGGAGCAAACATTACAACTTCATCATATCATATTCGTCATATTACATGACATGGCATTAAGTTCTTAGATAGACAATATTGTGTCAATTCCCACACTGAATAATGAAGAAGAAAAAAAATCTTTAACAATTGAATTAAGTCGACAGTTGCAAGAGTCGTGATCTTTGCCAGGTAACATGCTCTCCATTTGTTCAAATGTTATTGTCTCAAGTTAGTCTTAATAGAGCATGAAATCCTTAAACCTGAAATAAAGTTTTTTGCCTCTTGGAATCAGTGGAAAAAAGCTGTAAACACAATATTGACACATAATTATTGTTGATAAGTTGATACAACTTTCTTTGGATACCTGTGACCTGGATGACTGAGAACCTTCACAGACACACAGCAAACTTGTTAGGTTACACATTTAAGGAGATAGATGAGTAACTTGTATCACATCATCGTAGCATGTAATCTTCTGCTGTTGACGTCATTTCCACATTTCAAAAAACCCTAACTGTTCTAATTAGATGTGAAGTGCTTTGTGACTTTTACCGACCTGTAAGAATAAATGAACAAGGATGAGTTGGCTGGCCCTCAGTGGATAAATAAGAAGAACCAGCTCAAGCCCATCGCTTTAGGGGCCTACACTGGGTTCTCTCCTAATTTCTCTCCTAGGTTAGGGTGCAAAGTCGAGGCTTAGTAACTACTAGTTAGTTAGTTTGTAACAAAATTAGCTACTAAAATTGGTTGCACCACAATTACTTGGGGCAGAACCTAACTAGTTTTGATGTAAAGTCATAACTATTGCGAGTGGCCAATCAGAGATCCTAGATTCCATCGTTATAGTTCCCCTTCGAGGGAACTCGAACTGCGTCGGTTACGACACTATGGGAACGCCTCTAGGCGAAGCAGGTCTGAACGTGAATGAAATCACTCCAATCCTATTGGCTTGTTGCTAGAACGGTACGGTGTGACGGAATAACCGGAGGAGTATAAAGCACACCTGTACACACTCATCATTAGCTTTTTTTTATTCAGCAGGCGCTCTGTATGTTGTTTGAAGAAAGCTCCAGTCCTACAAGCAGTGTGTCTTACCTGAAAAAGAAGTCTACCAGCATGTCCGGCAACCAGATGTACAGAAGGTGTGTTTTTTCTTGCCCTCGGTACATCACGGATGGAGATTCTCATGAGATGTGTGTCTCATGTTTGGGGATGGAGCACGCCCGGGCAGCTCTCGAGGGGGCTGCCTGCGCCCATTGCGAAGCCCTTTCCGTGCGGGTACTGAGGTACAGCATGGCTCTCTTTCCGAGGATGGCCGGATGTGTTTTCCCCGTGGCGCGGGCCCTGCAGCCGCTGAGGCGGCCCGGCGGCTTCACTCATGGGTTCACAGCGTGATCTGTCGGAGGATTTCGGGACGGCTGAGGCTTTTTCCCGACCTTCATCCGCTGGCTCCGACACTTCCTTTCCTCGTTCGGGAGCCCGTTCTCGGCTTCTCCCGCTCGCGGTTTGGATCCGGAGACGCTGCAGCAATCCGACTCCGAGGAGGCGGACCTGCTCAGCGTAGTGGACGATGACTTCCGGGTGTCGTGGCGGCGTCATCTGGCCGCGCCCGACTATGACGTGCTGCTGGAGGTGGTGACTAGAGCCGTGGCTAAGCTCAACATCAACTGGCCACAGGAGGAGCAGACACCACAGGCTAGTGGTAGCTTGATGAAAGGTTTCTTAAGCACCACACGCCACCTTCACGCCGGTCTCTGCCATTCTTTCCTGATTTACATGATGAACTGAGTAAATCATGGGGCAGACCCTTCTCTACATGGCTTTCCACACCCCGATCACTGAACTACAGTAATGTGATGGGGGTTAGGGACCGTGGTTATGGGAGGATGCCTCGGGTGGAGGATGAGCTTGCAAGCTATCTCTCCCCTCGACTTGCGTCCTCCCTGGAGAAGCCGGCGTTACCATCCAAACCATGTCGCACCATATCCACGCTCGTGGGGAAGGCGTACATGGCCAGGCAGGTGCGAGCTTGCACACCACGGTGCTTCAAGCCTACCAAGCCAACCTGCTACAGGAGATGGTTCAGAGGGGGGGTCCCTCCGAGGAAGATCTGGCGGAGCTTCGCAGAACCATGAAGTGTTAGACACAGTGCGAAGCGTTCCGCCAGTACCTCCCTCGCCGGTCTGGACCCAAGGCAGCTGAGGCTGCCAGGCGTAGGTCCCTTCCCTCTACGAGCTCCTACGGAGAGGAGAGGAAGCAGAGTGTCGCTTCTCGGGGGCCCCCCCGAGGAGCTGGGGCAGCGAGACGGCGCTCTCACACTCAGCCGTCTGAGAGACGCGATCTGAGGACCGTCATCCAGTCCCGACGGAGCTCAGGGAAGACCGGGGTAGGGGAGTCTTTCTCCCCTCCCTGGCTCATCCTAGCCCAGTCTCGAGAGTTGGCGGTTCGGCATCGAGATGTCGTTCTGGCTCATCTGCGGGCTGAGGCTCAACGCAAAGAAGAGCGTGCTGGCGCCCACCCAACGAACTACGTTCCTAGGGGTTGTATGGGATTCGGCAACAATGCGGGCACAATTGTCTCCGGCACGTGTCGACACCATATTGGCAAGTGTCTTCGTTCCCTATCAGTTTGGAAGGAAACTTGGTTCCTGTCCCAGGGGCCCATGCTGGGAGGGTCTTGTCGCCGGCTGGTTATTTCGACAGACACCTCCCTCACGGGCTGGGGCGCGGTCATGGACGACCGCTTTGCAAGGGGATCCTGGCAGGTGCATCGATCCGAGTGGCATATCAACTGTCTCGAGATGTTGGCGGTGTTCCAGGCTCTAAGGAGTTTCCTGCCCGATCTCCAAGGCCACCACGTCCTGGTTCGTTCCGAGGAGAACAACACAGCGGTGGTGGCCTATCTGAATCACCAGGGCGGTCTGCGCTCGCGCCCTCTGGACAGACTGGCGCGTCAGATCCTCCTGTGGTCCCAGCAGAGGTTACTATCGCTCAGGGCGATGTATCTCCTGGGGACGCAGAATCAGGGAGCAGACCTGCTGTTGAGGCAGGGGCTGAGGCCCGGGGAATGAAGACTTCACCCCGAAGTGGTGGAGCTCTTGTGCGAAGAGTTCGGCCCCATAGACGTGGATCTGTTTGCGTCTCAAGAGACTACGCACTGCCCGCTATGGTTTCTCTCGTTCCTCCAGCCCCGTTGGGTCTGGACGCCATGGTACATTCGTGGCCGAGGCTACGTCTGTACGCTTTTCCCCCAGTCGCTCTGCTCCCGGGGTTCTGGAGCGGGTCCGCCAGGACTATGTCGGCCTACTGCTCGTAGCCCCGTTCTGGCCAACCCGGGTGTGGTTCTCGGACATCATGTCGCTCCTGGACGGCCCGCCGTGGCGGGTCCCTCTGAGGAGAGACCTGCTGTCCCAGGCGCAGGGCCGGGTTCTTCACCCTTGCCCCGCCATATGGCGACTGTGGGTCTGGCCCCTGAGGGGGCACAGTATCTAGAGGCGGGTCTAACAGCCGGAGCAGTCGAGACCCTCCTGAGCTCCAGGGCCCCGTCCACACGGAGGATGTACGGCCTGAAGTGGAGTGTTTTCTCCACTTGGTGTAGGGAGCGGTCGGTGGACCCTGTTACCTGCCCGGTGGTTCAGGTACTTGAGTTCCTTCAGGACCGGTTCTCTGCTGGTCTTTCCCCTTCCACCCTCAAGGCGTACGTGGCAGCTATTTCATCTTTCCATACCCCTCTGAGGGAGGGGTTCTTGGGGAAACTTCCCTTGGTTGTACGTTTCCTCCGTGGTGCCCGGAGGATGAGACCTGCGACTCGGTCCAAGGTTCCCACTTGGGATCTAGCAGTGGTTCTTGGGGCGTTGGCTGAGGCCCCCTTCAAACCCCTGGAGTCAGCTGAGGCTAAGCACTTGACCCTCAAGATGGCCTTTCTCCTTGCTATCACCTCTCTGAGGAGGGTGGGGGAGCTCCAAGCGCTTTCGGTTTCCCTGCAACAGGGAAAGTTTGCCCCGGGGAATATTAGGGCTATCCTGCACCCTCGTTCAGGATACATCCCTAAAGTGCCTTCTTGTGCGGCAGGGTCCACAGTGCTGCAGGCATTTCATCCTCCACCTCATGTGACGGCGGAGGACGGGAGACTTCATCTGCTCTGCCCTGTCAGAGCACTGAGTATTTACACTCTGAGGTCCTCCCGTTGGAGGAAGGCTGACCAGCTGCTAGTGTGTTTTGGGTCTCCCAGGGCCGGGCTCCCTGCATCCAAACATACTATTAGCAACTGGATTGTTCAGACTATTTCCCTGGCCTATCAGGTGCGCGGTTTGCCTTCACCTGTGGCTGTGAGGGCTCATTCTACCAGAGGCAAGGCGGCCTCTCGAGCCCTCCTTTCCGGGGGCCTCTTGCAGGATGTTGTTTAGCGGCTGGCTGGGCCACTCCGCACATATTCATTCGGTTTTACAGTCTTGACCTTCCTTCGGCACCTGGCACTCGTGCGCTCTCCTCTTAGTCGTGCCACTTTATTGCACACAGGGGCAGGCGGGGTTTTCGGCACGGTTTAGTGGGTATCTCGTTCCCATAGAGTCGTAACCGACGCAGTTCGAGTTCCCTCGAAGGGGAACGTCTCGGGTTACGTATGTAACCCTGGTTCCCCGAGAAGGGGAACGAGAGACTGCGTCGGCCCGCCGCACCTCTCTCTCCGCCTGAAGCGCCTGCTTCATAGTTTAAGCTAATGATGAGTGTGTACAGGTGTGCTTTATACTCCTCCGGTTATTCCGTCACACCGTGCCGTTCTAGCAACAAGCCAATAGGATTGGAGTGATTTCATTCACGTTCAGACCTGCTTCGCCTAGAGGCGTTCCCATAGTGTCGTAACCGACGCAGTCTCTCGTTCCCCTTCTCGGGGAACCAGGGTTACATACGTAACCCGAGACGTTTTGTGCACATTAGCTTTCTTGCTGGTATGAGCCACATGGCATCATAGCACATCGTAATAATTTGATATATCAATAAAAATTAAATAAAAATTTTTCAATAAATAAGGGCTCTGCTGGATTGCAGTGTCGCATAATTGTATGCAATTTATAAAAAAAATTATGCTGTGTGGCAGAAAAACTGCAGTTTAACAATTGTTGAGCTTTATTCTGTGACATTTAATGATTTACACCTACCCTGGGCTATGTGTAACTATCTAGTTGTTACTTTCAGAGTACAGTTGTAACTTATTAATTTAAGAAATGCATAAATAATGAACCAAGCGGTATCCATCACCTTGATAATGACCCCACAGAGGTTAAATGGCTGGGATTCCTTGCTAGTCAGTCAGAACTGAAGAAGCAAAACGTATTCAACCAAGTCCATTGGATTTTAACTTTCCTTGGATTACACAAATAATGTTTTTCTTGACTTTTGTTATTTAAGGTCCATAGCTGTCCGTTTAGTGTGTGTGCGCAAAAAAAACACAGCCTTGGCTCTGTAAATGGGAAACGTTTACTACTAACTATATTATCTTTATTATGCATTTTAGCTTTGCTGCAGCAACTGTGGCGTAAGTTTGCTAACCCACAACTATAGCTACTTGCTGTGTCATCATTTGTTCCAAATCATGGTATTTGTTGTGATATTGGATATTTGTCCAGAATGGCAACCCCCACCTTTAACAGAATGCTAATTCCAGTACTATATCCAAATGCCACTACTGACAATAAAATGCTATCTTGTTGAATGTGTCACTACAGTAAAAACCTATTCATTTCAACTTACCCAGTACAGAGACAACTGATGGCTGAGAAGTCTGATATCTCATGGTTTTTTTGTTAAAGGCCTGGCAGCTGTAGTTACCACTGTGACTCATCTGAATGTTTATCAGTGTGAGCTCTGGTCCAGTATCAGACTGCAGGTCTCCATTCAGGAACCAGTTAAACAAGGCAGAGGGTCTGGAGACAGCTGAACAGGACAGACTGATGTTTGATCCTTCTTCAAAGGATTCTTGTGTCGGAGATATTGTGAAATAAATATTTTCTGGGCCATCTACAGTGTGTGCCGTATGGGGAGTAAAAACAACAACAAAGTAGTAATGTTAGTAGCTTGAAGAAAATGCTACTTAACATGCAGCTTAGCTCAGTGCAAAGCCTCAGTACACCATCAAATGAAGATCAAAGATGTATCTTTGAAGCTGTATGTCCACAGCACAGAGCAAACTGCATGAATATATTGCAAGATAAATGTTATGCACATGTAGGTTAATAACTCACAGCTGATGGTGAGGTTTACAGGATCACTTGTACCATTACTGACAGGACTGAACACACGACACCTGAATGGTCCCTGGTCATAGCGGGTCACATTAACTATAGTGAGAGTGGAGCCTCCATCAGTGAGCTGAACTCTGTCGCTGGCTGTAACCTCAGAGCTGCCGTTCAGCCAGAGGAAAGAGAGGGAAGATCCAGACGAGGAGCAGGACAAACTCATAGCACTGTTGAATTCCAACAAGTCTGTAGTGTTTAAGGTTACCACAACATTGGAAACACTTGCTGTGGGTGAAAAACACAGTGGTTTTATACTTGCCAGCTTTCTTGCCTTAAAAAGGGGACACTGTTCAGTAGAGGGTGGCAACATAGAGCATGGGAATGAGTCCCATTTTTAAGATACTATAATGAGTAATAAGTGGTGTTCAAGGTTTGTATTTGAGTTGGACATGTAGTCATGAGAATGTGGACTTGAGACTTTACATGGACTTAACATTAAAATCCTACAGCAAAAATGCAGAAATAAGACAAGGGAACACGCGTTTTGCTTTTCAGAGTCATTACTCAGAGTGCGGCTGAATTAATATAATAAATTGTTTAAATTGTTTTTTCTACATATTCGGTGTGTTTTTGAAGATAATATTTGCATCACTGCAGCCACCTGACTCATAGCATACATTACTTCTGTTATGGCTCCACCGTTTATTTACTGGTGATGAGCAGGATGAGCTTAGCTGTCCAACCCATTTTGCCTGTTTGATCATTATATCTTAATGCTTTATCAGTGTTAGCTTATCTAACAGGTTTATCTTGCATAATTAGACACAACTACATTCACTTATATACGCAAAAGTTAACTGTTAGCCCACCAATCAGACTGGATGGCAATGTCATTATCAGTCACTCCAAAAACAACTGAGATGTGAAAGGCAATATAATCTGTCACCAGACTAGATTACTGCAAAGATATTACAGTTACCGAAAATAATGTGCATTTAAAGATGTGGTATTATGCTCATTTTCAGGTTCACAATCTTATTTAGGTTTTGTACCAGAACAGGTTTACATAGTTTAATTTTTTTTTAAAACACTGTATTTTTGTCATACTGCACATTGCTGCAGCTCTACTTTCACCTGTTCTGTTGAAGGCTTCGTTTCAGCTATGGAGTGATGCGTCTTGCCTCTACATGATCTTGTAGGGAGTTGCACATGTGCAGTTCCCAGTTAAGGACTAATAGCCAATCAGAAGCAGAGAAGGTCGGGTCAGTGAGAAGCCGCTGAGACAACAATGAGACCCATGCGAGCTGTGTAGTCTTGTCAAATGTTAAAAGTGAGTATAATGTTGCAGCGTGTAGGCTCATGTTAGGCTATGTATTGCCAGCCTTCAGCAATATCAATAATTAATTTTACTTCAGTCACAGATGCCGACACCCTCGCCTTAATAGAGGCAATGATCAAGCTGCAGTCAGCGTTTAACACATTATCAACGCTGACCACCACGTTTTCGATTATTGTTTTTACTAGGCTATGGGTAAAATTGTATTTGATCACAGAGCTGCGGGCAGCTTGGCCTACTAGGCTATTCACTAATCACCCCCTTCTGTTCGGTCGTCGTACTGTTTCTGTTTGTGCCACAAATGTTAGTACATCCTTTTTTATATTTAAGAAAGTTTTGCCTGATACAATTACTAGTACATGCCCTAATCCCGTCATTAAAATCCACATTTTGTACAAAACTTTGTATTCAAACTTACCCAGTACAAAAACAACTGAAAGCTGAGATGTTTCATATCTGTCCGTTTTGTTGTTAAAGGCCCGACAGCTGTAGTTTCCACTCTGACTCTCCTGAATGTTCATCAGTCTGAGCTCTGGTCCAGTATCAGAAAGCAGGTCTGCATTCAGAAACCAGTTAAAGTGGGCAGCAGGTCTGGAGTCAGCTGAGCAGGACAGGATGATGTTTGAACCTTCCTCATAATATTTTTGTGTTGGAGAAAACTTTAAATTAATATTTTCTGGGCCATCTGAATTCCGGGATAAAAACAGAAAACAAATCACCAAAATGTAATGAAAAATAAAAAGGCATTCAGCTTTAGCTCGCTGTGCGGTATTCTAAGTGATTATTATGAGCAAGAAAAGAAACAGCTGTACAGTGTATTGTAACTGAACAGCCCTGCATTAAACACTTTCTATATGAAAATGACTGTATAAAGATTTAGTTGACACTTTAGTTTGCAGTTGAACTGGATTCTGTTAGGTTGAAAAATGTATTGTTAATAAGTTGTCCAAACCATGACAGAACAAAGAAATAAACAAAAAAAGCCACTCCTTACTAAGCTGTGACAATAATCTAAACTATCTCTGATGGTTGTATACAGATGTTGTCAGATAAAGTACTGTCATGTGGGTTAGCAACTTACAGCTGATGGTTAGGTTTACAGGATCACTGGTGCCATTACTGACAGGATTGAACACACGACACCTGAATGGTCCCTGGTCATAGCGGGTCACATTGACTATAGTGAGAGTGGAGCCTCCATCAGTGAGCTGAACTCTGTCGCTGGCTGTAACCTCAGAGCTGCTGTTCAGCCAGAGGAAAGAGAGGGAGGATCCAGAGGAGGAGCAGGACAGATGGACAGAGCTGCTGAACTCCACCAAGTCTGTGCTGCTGGCATTTACTATTACATTAAAAACTGGCTCTGTGGGTGAAAAACAATACTGTTCTTTGCATTACAAAAGGTACAGTAGAGGGAAACATTGCAGTGGCTGAGAATGAATCCCATATTTATTATGGCATGTTGAGAATTCATGGCTGCAAGCTGAAAGTTTACACTAGCTCCTGCCACAACAAAAAACATGTTGTCGCTTATTATTTAATGACAATAATGATACACAGATCAAAAAGGCTATTTGGGGTTTCTACTAAATTATTTGCACATTAGAGGGAAATTCAGTTTTTGTTGATATTTTGTCAAACAGTCATTGATTTAACTCAGTGGTATAATGGTTTAGGCTGCACATTTAGGTGGTTTCACTTTATAATCAATTTTCAATATATTGCAGCCCAATTTAACACCAGTTAGTGTGTATGACCTTAACTCCAATCAAAATCTATCTGATACAGTCTCAACAAAAGCTAAATATGTACAGATTCATACAGGTGTACCAAAATAAAAGCAAACTCAGTGCATCCATTAGGACTACATGTTTAAACATAATGTTGAAGTCAGTACTTAATCATACCAGTAAATATAAGGGTATTGCTAAGCACCAGTTGTCGTAAATCTCAGATCACAGAAGCTGCAGTTTTTGGATAAAGGTAAAATGCGTCACAACACACCATTATAAATTAAGCATTGTTGTGTTACACACATGCCCGGCCTACAAATAATCTTCTCCAGTCATAAGGGAACATGCTGGTTTGATACAGACGCCAGAAAATATCACATCATTATAATACAGATTTGCTTTATTAAAAAAATTACCATTACCGCTGAAACAATGACTCTTACCGCAATATCTAGTAAGTAATTACAATGTGATTGTTTTCTGCATACTGTTCAGTCTTAGCTGGTGTTAATGTAGGTCCCCATTGCTCATGGTAAGAAGTTAAATGAGAAATTAGGTTTTCAGGGTGTTTATAATGCAATTATTGCTATTTGTTTTGCCTTAGTATTATACTATGTAATAACATAATTACAGATTTTATTTGAAACTACCGAGCATGTAAACACAATTATTTTAACAGACACAATATTTATTTATTTCTCAATTGTCATAATCTCCTTTCAGTACTGAATGAGATGCAATATGAAACATTTGCTCACCATGTACAGACAGTCTGGTGGTTCCATGCTTTTGTGCTTCTCCCTGTGGTGTAACGGTAACTCTGTATTCTCCACTGTCATTAAGAGTCAGATTCCTGAGCTCCAGAGATGCAGTAGATGTGAAAAAGGTGATCCTGCCTTCATACTCTGGTCCAGTTATGTTTCCAACATTTGAAGTGATTATGAATCTGTCACCAAAGTTCCAGGCTGCTGTTATAAAGGGTTTCTCTGCTGGAGTCAGTGTTGTGGTGAACATCACCGTCCCTCCCACAGCTGCATTCAGAGGACCGTCTGGTAACAAACCAGCTCCTTTGGTTAAACCTGGAAGAGTTTAAAAGTTATACATCTCTAAAATTAATTAGAATGGAGGACATTGTAAAATTGGATACTGTGATGATGTGATTAAATCCCAATTCAAAACAAGGTCTTGATCTAATAACTATTCAAAACCCAAATCTGCAGCAGACAAAATGATCAACCAACCAAGGCTCATGATTTTTTTAAAACTCAGTTGTAGCTTTGAATTTTTTCTAAACTTGCCTATTTACTGCTAACAAAACCTCTGGTTTATAAATATATTATTAACCACTAAGTACAACAGAATGTTGAAGATTGGTGTATTTTGTCATAATGTATCTATGTAGAAAGTTTACAATGTGATTCTTTCCAGTGTATATTCTGATGCTCGTTCTCAAAAATCAACATTTGGTATATGAAGGAAGTACTGGATTCCTCATGAGTTAAGAAAATAATTTCCAGTGGATAATCCAGGGGGGAATGAAGCACATTTGCAGTAACATTTCCAACATCTCCCAAATGAAAGCAGGGAGGAGTGTAATCTGAAGCTGTTAAACTGAGCTTAAATAATTAATGGCTATATCTTTAAAAATAAGTGAATAAACGCATGCTTGTATCTGCCGTATCAAGCAATAAGATCTCACCTGTGATGACTCCCAGGATGATTAAGTGTATCACAGTTATTTCCATTTCATCTGCAGTTTCATCAAGTATAACGAGAAAAGAGGGACTCACTCACTTCAATTTCCCTTTGATAATTTCAGGATCATTTTGCTGTATTAAAGTAGTACAAGGAAGTACTATGCAATGGGGATTTTCATATGGAATGGTTTAATGATGAACAAGGTCCACCTTGTTGATCATTAACATGATTCAGCATTCAGAGGGTTTATTCAGGGTGGCCGTACTATGGATTTGTTCTGTATTTTGTAGCGAGGCGACATCAGAATATTGCAGTAAGTTTTACGACAGGTTCAGCCAATAAAATAGTTTTTTCCAAAAATTGTGAGTTGCTGCAACCATGAGACGTCCTTGAGCATGTTCAAAAATATTAGGCTGATGGGTCCACCAGTAAGCTGAGGACAGATACGCACACAATCAAAATGTTTTGAATTCAATTCATTTAACAATGAAATGATACAATTGTATATCTTTAATTTAAATTATTCTTAGTTAAATATACAAATAGGTAAACCAAACACATGATCCTCATCCATCATAGCAATATAGAGAAGGATATGGAGAAATGAGTGAGAAGACAGAAACAATATTGGCAATATTGAATAGATTTATAGATGAAGTCAAGGCACAGGGATAAAGTAAACATTATTGTTTACTATGATCGATGCATTGATCATGTCTCACCAAGTCTGTAGAACCTGGGCCACTGCAGAAAGCCTTAGTACATGGTGTGCAAGCTCTATCAGATAAGCTACCGAGGTGTGTTGCAGCCTTGACAATATCCCGATATGAAGTAATAAACCACTTGCTGTACTTGTGCTTTTGTTATGGGTTCTCCCAGAGGCTGCATTCTGCTGACTTTGAACGCCTGACCTACCCTTTACATCCATGAGATAGACACACCCAAAGATTATTTGGGATGCCAACCAATGTCATAAGATTTCTTGATCTAGTTCCAGAATAGGAGAGTAAATTACAGTGTTTGTGTGTAGCCTATGTGCGTGCGTGTTGTGGGCCCGGCTACCATCTACTGCTACTTGTCGCCAGATTGGTCCGTCACTCTAGTAGAAGCAGCCTATTTCAACTTCGTTACAAAACTAGATGTATATTAGAGGTACGCCAACTTGCCTCTTGCTGATGAGTGATTTTTCTGTGCTCCAGGTTTCTTGTGCTTACACTTCATCGCTCACCACCAACCGTCTCTACCAACACCATGCCATCTCCTACCTGCCTGTGTCATGCCAGCCGCCCCACCAACAGATCGTTTTGTCAATAAGGACTTTTATCTTAACTGCTTTGTTATCTGCTTCTGGGTCCGCCTAAAACATAACATTAAGACCACTCAACAGGAGTTCCCAGAGAACATAAGTATTCAACACATTTACTCACTTCTGCTATTGAGCTTCTGTTTCATTTCAGCAAGTTAAATCTTAAAATCAATTCTCAATGGACATTAACTTTGATATACACTCCTATAAAAGTTAAATATAAGATATCCTGCTCAGTAAATCATATCAGTAGCACCTTGCTTCACCTCTTATCCAGACCTCCAGAAGAACTACAGTTACACCACAGGAGGGCAGCATACTGCAGATTTTGTCTTGAAAGTCCTCATTTATAAGGACTTAAAGTGCTAAAGCTAACTCAACAAAAGGCACAACTTCATTTAATCGTTAGCATTTCTTTATTGTATTTATTATGAGGAAAAGTAATATCAACTCATGGAAACAAGATTACAAAATAAGTTTGATGGGCTGCAGGATTTAAACTATACTCTTCAAACCTACTGTAATTTCCACAGGTGCTGGTGTTTGACCATTAACAATGAACAAAAATCTAATGCAAACAAAGGTTTAGTAATAGCAGAATAAGAAATTGTCATTTATATATTTTACTTATCTGTCTAGGTGTTGTGGTGTCCGAACAATAATGCTGCGATGATGTGTTAAGAAATTCGCTTGACACTGTTCTTGATCATAAAAGTTTATTACATCAAGGAGTTCAGCATCAATTACAAGCTCTGCACCAGCTTGGAGAGTGACCCAGCCCGATAACCACTCTGTCTCTCTGTACATCAAACACAGCTTATATAGGACATGTTTAGGTATCTGCTAAATACCATATAAGGGTCAGAGTCTGCAATCTAAAGCTCCAATCCACATAAGGGCACAGTGCTGTAGGATAAGTGTAAACATCTGTTAGACACCATAGAAGGGTTCAGTCCCTTCATAAACACTAATCACTACTCCCCCTAACACTGGGTCAGAGGTCAAATTCCATAGGAGGGTTCACTCTTTACACACCCAATCACTCCTCCCCCCTTAAGAGTTCACTGAGCCTCTATCCAGCTGCTAGAGTGTTATTTTAAACTGTAATGGTCAAATGCACATATGTTATACACCACAGTGTAAAACAAGTTAGCATAGCCATTTTCAAATAAATGTTTTATATTAATGGTACATAGTAAGTAGCATAGAGGCTTTCAAAGGCAACTGAGAAAGCCGGTGAATGGCTCATTTTTCTGTGAGGTTACAACTCATTCACAAATAGACAATACAAAAGTTATTTTAAATGTTAAATGGCTTTGGGTGAATTATCACCCAACTATGTAGCTCAACTGAGCTTTTTGTTTTGGGTTTGAAGAACTCCGTCTATGGCAGAGTTTCAGGAAAAACGGTCTAATAAACCCATTGCATTCGCTACCTTCTAAAATGAGAGTGAATATTTTATTCAACAAGTGGCCAGAAATGCAGCAGAAATGCTACTGTTGGTCTGTACTGGATGGATAAATGGCAAATTGTATGCTAACACATTAGCTATATAAAAAATAAAAATTTGAATACATCACCATGTGTCATTGTTGTTGGCCTACAAGTGTCCAAAAAGTCACTTAATGCAGCTTTGAGCACATTTTGCTGGGTGTCTGACAATAACACTTTCAGATACACTGGTAATTCTGTTAATGATTTCTAAAAGTATATAATCCAAACATGAGAAATGTATAATTTCATCTCTTATCTTCTTGGCGCAGGTTAAAACTTTACACACATTTTCTGATCATCTGCTGACAAAAATGTAAAGAACTAATTCAGAGAGTTGCTGTTTATTGTTGCGTTTTTTTTTTTCAGATTTTGAGAAAGGAGAAGCTGGATCCGATGAAATTAACAAGAAAATTTAATAAAAATAGGTGAATAAAAGATGGCATTACAGAACAAACAACAAAACAAAAATCCCTCCTTTCACACCATTTATTGGTGTGAAATCACTATTAGACTTAGCATATCTACAATTATGTCATTGAAATGTCAGAAGTTGTAAAATCAAATCATGATTTAAGCAAAGAAATCATCTTCCTCTTCTCTGACCTCACTATCTGACTCTTCGTCTTCCATGGGTTGAGCAATCTTCCTGGGTCTTCTAAATCTTTTGTGAAATTTGTACTGTTTGGTGGAATAAAGTTTATTATGTGTGCAGTATTAATGGGCTGAATGGGTTCTGTGGTTGACCTATTTTCTGGAGATGAGACTATAGGATTATTGTTATAAATAGAGAAATGATTACGGCTGAAGTTGATATTGTTCCCTTTATCCCACAAAACTCTAGGTGCCTAAATTTATTCCCTCCCTTGAATTCCATTTTTGTCTTGCTGGTGAAACTGTGATTCAAAACAAATGAGGTAAATGTGGAAGGAAAAAGAAAACAAACAAAAAATAAAATATAAATAGAGAATGACTGAGTTTTCTACTACCAGAGTCAACATTTCTGAATCTGCTGTGTATAATCCTAATTCATGTTCACAGCGTGGCCAAATCAGTTCTAACCTCCTCTATTGATTGGGAGGGGGCTTGAGTGGGTGTGCAATGTGTAAGGTGGTGTTCTCTTGGTTGCATGGTTTTTTTGTGGTTTTTCTGAATCCCTCTTCTTCTGTCCTCTTCCTCCTGCGTTGGTAACATGCCAATGTTACGTCTCCCCTCTGCATCCTCTTCTTGCATCTTCACTGGTTATGACAGTTATTTCCTTCCTTGTGTGAAACAGTGTGAATGTGAAAATCAGTGTAAATGACATCAGTTCGACTGGTGAGTGCAAATGAATCAATAATCTGTGTGGGTGTTGTGGTTATATGAGTACTAGTGGAGTCTGTTTGTTGAGAGCTCCTTGTAGAAAAACGTCTGCCATCTTGTTGAGCTGGTGTTGGAGTACCCTAGCTGTGCTGACCAGGACAGTGGTGAGCACTGCAGCCATTGTCTGTGTTGTTGGAGGGCATCCTCGCTGGGGAAACACTTCGCACTGTGATGCATGGACCCATGTGTCCCTCTCAACTACCCTGGCGGCAGTTGAAGTTGGCCGTATCACCTGGGATGATCTTAACTGTCTGGTGATGGTCTCACTGCTTTCGCTGCCTGTCTGGATGTTGTGGGGCATTAGTTCATTAGTTTTGTTAGTCGATTAGTTTCAACAATTAAACACAACATTTTCAACACACCACTCAAAAAAAATTATTAAATTAGAAACCCAAAACCCTTGGTGCGCACCATAATATTTACAATTCCCCATCCCTCCTTTTGATACATGGTGAAGAACCATGTATCAATGCTAGGAGACATCTTTAAAGGGAAAGAATACAGTAGAAAGCCTATGCAGTTAGAATAAAGCAGGGCAGCATCACCGGGTCGTTAGAAACCTCTATGGGCCTACCATTGTATACAGCAGTAGAAGGCAGGTGAGGAAAGAATGCAAACAATCGGTTGATTAGAAATTCTTGGTGAGCCGGACCTGTAGAAGAGAAAAGGCCATTTTAATGCATGCTGGGAATCAAAATGCATACTGTGTTGTTCCTAGGGTGACAAAGAACCATATGCTACAAATCAAGTCACATAGCTGCCCGCACTGACTCCATCTACAAAACAAAAAGCAGAGTTAAGGTTAGAAAGATTTAGCTGCGTCAAACAGTCTGAAACAAAAGAAGAGCTGGACAGAATCCTGCTTCCAGTCATTAAAGTCAGTCAAAAGTTGGTCAAAATGCTTTTAAGTCAGTGAAAAATGTGTCTGCCTAGCAGTTCAAAATCAAAAAATAAGAATCAGTCAATGGCCAGCAGTTTCCCCATGTCTGGGGTGGAGATCTCCACAAAGGAAAAATTATAATCCATGAAAGGCACTAGCCTGCCAGAGCCAAGAGAATTTAGTATTGTGGTCTTTGGAAAATCCTGGATTTCCTGTGCCTGATTTGTGATGAAATTAAAAACGCACCCCTTTTGGAACGAAATCCACCTAATCATTTGAAAAATCCTTATGACAGTTCCCTGCTAAGAACCTAATAGTGACACTGTG